GAGGAGGATATCGCGGTATCCACGGACTCGTACGAGAGATGTCTGAAAGGTATCCAGAGGTTGGAGGACTGCATTCGAAGAGTCGACAGGCATAACGAGCTGCTTAGGGTGAAGTACGGCGTAAACTGCGAGTCTGCTGGCGCTAGACTGGATCTAGCGAGTCCTAGTGCAGAGGCTCGCGCGTCACCGACGGCCGACGACTCGGAGATCCTCCGTGAGGCAGAAATTCCTTTGGTGTTGCAAGGTCCCGGCGTCGTAGAGGACCGGAAACAGGACGACGACGAGGATCTGGAGAAGAAAATCTTCGATCAACTGATGAACGTTGCCAATTCCATCCGCTGTGGAAATTCGAACAGAGTTCGACCTGGAAGTGGTGTGCTCGCTAAGCCGGAATCCAGATCGAGGAGCGGTACGAAGTCCGAAGGCGACAAATATCGAAGCTGCACGACGAAACAACCACCATTCTGTGGAGACATTCGAGGGAACGTGAATGTGGGTGAGGCTTGGGACGAACGCAGAGATCTCACCACGTACGAAATAACAGGGAATTTGTCCGTGGAGAGGACGACTTGCTCCACCGAACGGAAGAACGACGACTTGGATTCTACTGTGGAGGACGATTCCTCGCCTCTGAGAAGATTTGATCGAGCCTCTTGGTCCGTTGATTCGGATCGTCCAGCGTCGTCGAGGACGGAGGACGAGCACAGTTTCCTCTCGAGATACAAGCTAACCGATACCACTGACTGTTCGGCGAGACCGCAGAACAACACGGCGCGGAGAAGCTCGCCGAAACGGTTCCAAGGGACGGACGATTATTCGCGACGAGTGAGGGATGGCAGTAGTTGCAGACGAGTGTGCCCGTGCTGGAAAGAGCACGCGGACATCGAGAGCACGAGCGGCGAGATCACGCATCTCAGGGACAAATTGAAATATCCCGGAAGTCCCAGGGCGAGATTTCTGGAGCTTCTTCGGGAGAGGCGACGAATAGTCGAGTGCAGCCGTGGCACGAGTGCCTCTTGAACGCGCGTCTCTCTCCTCCTTTCAATTGTAAAATGTATTTTTCTATTGTAACGCGCCGGCGTCCCATCCGTCGACGACGCCCCCCTCCCCCCATTTTGTAAATAATAGATTCTAGAACCTTTTCTAACCGTTTGTCACCACGTTTGCTTCCCACGACGAAATCTAACTTATTCATCCCTCTCCGAACTGCTCCATCGACACGCTCTCCTCCACGTAACGTTAACACATTATTGACCGGGGGCTTTTTTCTTTTCGTAGAAAAACTTTCGTAGACGCGTGTGGCCGGCGATTTTCCCTAAAAGTGACAAAGAACGATTAAATACAAACAACTTTTATCATCACGTGATGTGTTTGCTTGAAACGCATATGTTTAATCGAATTAGTTTACAAAATTATTAAATTATTAAATGATTAAATTATAAAGTTAGTTTAATATTTTTCTAAGAGAATGATAGGCCGTGTAGCAAGAAACTACGTTGTTAGATTTATATTGTTAATCCGAGAGACTTTCTCATATCACTATTAGCTCATTTTAAAGTCTTATCATAATTTTTTCTATGACTTTTCAGTCTGTTGATGGTACAGGTTCGTTTGGCGAAGTAAGCAAGTCGAGAAGATCGTTTCCAAAAGTTCATTTCGCTACTTCACTAACACTTTGCGAGTTATTACGTTCAATGTGTTACAAAATGTTGCTTTTTCAATCCAGTTTTTCCCATTCTGTGGAAAAAGAAGAATTTTCTCCAGCATCGTGAATGTTGTCTTCATTTTCAAAGTCACTATCAATCACTATCAATCACAAAGGTTCTCTGTCTCATTTGTTGGCCTTATATCGATATCGTCCGAATCGGAACTATGATTCTGAAAAATTATCATCTTCTGAATCACTGGGATAGATATCGCTTGGACAGTCTTGGATAAATTATCATCAGAAAATTCAGCGGGAAATTCTTCTTCACTGAAAAAAATTCGCCATGTGCCATTTTTTAAAAATTTAACGATAACAACTTGAAATCACGTCTTTTCATAAACTGAGAAATTTCACAATTCAAATTCAAATATCGCTTAGCCATAATTAAATTTATCTAAACCTAACCTAAACTTAAACCTAACCTAACCTATTG